CGTGGATTCGAAGAAAGTATGACACATGGCAAGCTTCAAGAACCAATCTTTTTGATCAATTGTCGTAACATTGAAATCAAATTCTTGCCTCAATATTCTTGAAGATTTTTTATAGTAAAACAGAGTACTGCATAAAAAGATTTTTACAGATTGGTTACAATTAATTTTAAATATGCGAAAGAAAATAATTTGTAAGGGAAAAAAAAAAGTAGAGAGAGAAAAAATTACCCAGACTCTGATTTTTTTGGTTTTATGTACAAACCAATCTGTAACCAATCTTCGAAGTCACTTACAATTGGGTTATAATCTTCCCAGAAAGGAACATCAAATGGAAATGATTCATAATTGATTTTTTTTCTACCAGTGTACGGTATTGGCAGCTTAGCTGGTGCACCTTCAACTTTAGAATTACCAGTAACTTGAAAAGACAGTTTCAGCGAATTACGTGTCGTTACTTTCGGAGGAACAACAACAGGCTAGCAAGAAAGCATTTATTAAAAAAAATTAAAAAAATAGATAATGTATATGTACAGAATGTAGAGATATAAATATGACAAATACCATATTAAATAAAATATTATCCAATGGAGGTAAATCTTCAGGTTGTGTGAAGATAATGATCATCCAATCTTTAAAATCATCTTCGGATTGAAGATAATGAGAACCACTATAATCGTCGGAGAACTCAGAATCGGACACATCATCTGAGGAGGATGCGAAAATCTTCTTCTTCCCTTTGATGTCGGCATCCCCATTTTTTCGGTTGACACTGAAAGGACTAATAGCATCATCAGCTTTTAATTTTTTAAACTTGTTCATACCTTCGCCATCTTTTCCAATATTCGAACTTGTACGAGTCATTGAAATTGAAAAAAAAAAACAAAAAGAAAAGAGAACTGAATGGAGAAGAAACCAGAAGATATGGAATATTTGTTTTTGTATATAAAATCTCAGTTTTCTAAACAGTTAATCCAAGAAACCGTCAGAAAACTGCCTATAGGAATAGGCACGGAACTTGAAGAGTCTGACATTGGAATTAAAGAGCGTAATAAATGGGAATAAAACTGCCATTATAGGAATAAATCAAACTGTGTATCAATATTAAAAGATGTATTTAAAAAAAGGTCAGAGAGTGTACTTAATTCAATATTAGACTATCTTTATTCCCAACTCAACCCATCCCAATCTAATAATTAAAAATTATTTCTCTCTCCTCCATCTACACAACTCAATCTTCCAATCCAATTTATCTTTATCCCCAACCCAACCCAACTTAAATATTTATTTTATTTTAATTTATTTAAATGTTACAATTGTGTTCTAAAATATATCAAGTGTGGTCTCTATTTGTAGAGAATGAAAAAATACGAATTTTAGTATTTTTTTTATTTTTTTTAGAAACAAAAAAAATACACTTATACAATAAAAATGAGACAAGTGTCCCATTCCTATACAATAACCGGTCACGACCCGAGGTCATCATGTGACTTGGGTTGCTGAAAGTTGTGACCTTTTATTTATTTTTATTTTTTTTTTGTCTTATTTCCGTGACCCAATGGGTGGGTCACGGATAAACATAGTCTTAGATTGGTACCGGGATTTGCGAGGAGGTTTCTTCTAGTTTGGCCACAGTTTATGCAACTATAGTGGCTCTTTTCAAAAGTTAAATTATTTTTAGAAAAGTTCGAAATTATTTATAAAACTCAGGCGTTTTCAAAGTATAAGTAGACGGTGCTTACAGTTCTTTCATTACAATATTTTTTTTAATATATATGTGATCTTATATATTAATTCTCCTATTTTGTCTAGTGGGTCAATCGTCTCTTCTCCATTACATCAGACTAGCTCCGGGATTGCGAGGAGGTTTCTCCTAGTTTGGCGACACTTTATGCAGCTATAGTGGCTTAATGCAAGGTGGATTGGGACAGAGCGCAGTAGTGATGTTTATACATTTATGTTTGATTCGAGGAGTTTATTGTTAAACATTCATGAGATTTTTATGGTTTTTTTTGTTAATTCATTTCATTTTTATCTATTTTCAAATGTTATACTACATTCCAACTAAAAAAATCCATAACAATCAACGTATACATAATAATGCATGATTATGTACATATATACATATATTAAAGTTACATGTCAATCTGTATTACAAATATTATTCCACTATTGGATCATGTTATGGTAGATACGCTCCCAATTTGCAACCGTCGTATCTCAGTATCTAATCCAATAAGAACAAACAACCGGTGTTGGATTAGTAGACAGATCCAGACGAATGAAGTGTGGATAAAAACTAAGATGACAAATGACAATCTCGCGTTCTCGTCGTTTAGCCATGGATCGTGCAGAGCGGCGATACTGTCGTACAGTTACTCCTGATATCGTCACCATTGCTCCCAATGACATACAAAATTACCACTGCATTAAATAATGTAGCAATAGGGAGCAGCTCGGGTATAACTTCCATCCAGTGCTCTCTGCCATAAGGGCCCCATTGCCATCTTATTTGTCTGAGTGCAATGTCGACCTCACTATAATATATATGAGTGTAAATAGCACGGGAGGCTTCAACCTCATTTGCAATGCAGTCTCTTGCCACTGGCCACATCTCTTGGTCGCCATACACGTAATCCGCGAGCACGCGAAATCCGCAGTGCCATATAAGACAACATTTAGGTAGCTCTCTATGTAATCTATAATTACGTAGGGAATATGAGATGCAAATGCAAAAATATTTGTCGCCTAATCTCTGTAATATTAGAATATTTCACGTGAGAATTTATATAAATAATTTAGTTAACATTCAGATAAAAAATAAAATATTTCACATGTTGCCTCTTGTAAATGGGCAGAAGATGTAGTTGTCAGGGCACACGAAGAACTGCTTCTACGCCCCCTGCAGACGACCTATGTCTCTGTACTCCGATTTCGATGGTCGACGCTTGGTTGAATTGTTTCTTTTTATTTTTATTTTTTTCTTTTTGTCGACCTCTTGTATTTACTTTCACCGCAAGTTCTGTAAAAGCTTATTGGTCAGGGTGAAGCTGAGCGTGGATGAGATGATTCAAGTGTCGCATCATTGTAATATCGCCCGCGTAAACCTCGTCGACAAGGTTTTGAAAAACCTGTTGATCTATCGATCCAGTCTGGTCACCTGTCCTTCCAGACTCTAGCACCTCTAGTATGCTCCAGAAAATGTGGATACTGTCAACAGTAATCGGCACTCTAGATGTTAGTGTCGCCTTTAGCTGACAGGCACAATGAAATCCATGTGTGTGTCTCAGTGCACAACCGCAGAGCGAGTCAACCTCATCGCTCAATTGTGGCATCCGCTGAAGCTCATTATTCAATAAATAAAGACAGTGATGCGAGACCTGCAGTAACCCGACCCATTTACATCCCTACATACCTGTTGGTTTTGTACGTGGAATCTATACCGATATACCAGTAATATGTCCAGAATAGGTTGACTGCTTCAGGATGCGACATGAACAGACGTGTCAACACCTGTATAAACTATATATTTACTCTCTAGAGCCAAGTGCAGAATCTGGGGAGCCACATCTCTACCCTCGAAACTATCTTTCCGCAATTGATCTTTATAGTTATAAACTTGTCGTCGAGTAACGTTGTCTTCCAGATGTTTTTCCTGGATCGCATCCAAAATCACTGTTGGTTTTGCCTGAGCAACAGTCATATCACACACAATATCTTTAAATGAAGCGCTAAGTCCTCTCATCTAACGATAACCCTCAAGATATACAACCAATGCATGATTATGAATTCCCCTAACACCAGAACTTACACGGATCCCCCAATATGTAGATCGTACCACCTGTTGGACTGCTAGTCGAAACGGGCAATTGCACACTTTAGTCTTTGAACTTCTGGCAGCTCAGTCTACATCTCCAAAACTACCTCTGTAACGTTCACCTCGTGTACACCTCAACAACTTCATCCTCCCATCCTTTTTGTATGAAGAAGTTATCAATTCAAAATCATATTGAATTGCTATTTTTTTTGCCTATCTAATAGCTTCTGCATCACTATCAAATACTTCCTTCGTAACGGAAACAGGACTGTAATCAATACCGTCCCTTCCAAAATCTTTGAATGACACCTGCAAAATATTACGATGTTAATAATTTTACAAGATAATCAATTCTAATTTATAACATAAAAATTTTCAAGTTCATCTAACATAATAATAATAAATTCTATAAAATAATCAATTCTAATTCATAACATAATAATTTCTAGATTCTAACATAATTTTTATAATAAATAAAAATTTGATCACTAATAAATAAATAAATAAATAAAAGTCGGCCGACCGGTAATACCAACCGGCCGCAGTCGGCCGGCTGGCCGACGATTGTGGCCACACACGGTGGCTGTCGACCGATTAGGTCGGCTAACTGCTGGATTGGCGGGCCAAATTGGCCGACCGCCGCCGTGTGCTGCCACAATTGCCGGCCGACCGATCTCGGTTCGACCGGTATTGCTGGTCGGCCGACGTAATTATTGTACCTCGTCGTCGCTCATTTTTGTCGAAAATCACCGCCTATTCAGAGAATTTATGATTTTTTGAGTTTTTAGAAAACATGTCAGGGGTAAAACTGTCCAAAGAGTGACGATATGTAGTAATAAGGGGGCGTTGTTTAAGCAAGGACCGTAAAGCAAAGTGTCGAGGACCTATTTGAGATATTCTCTTTAAATTTGGGCCATAAATGCAGTATACCGAAATCTACAAGCCTCTATAGTAATTTCTGGAAGCTCAGTTTCAAACAGACAAAAATTTCAGTAGAAAGTAGAAACTAGAAAAAAGCTAAAAATAAACAAATCAAGCCATCGTGCCCCACAATCCCATTTTTTCATTTTTATTTTCTGTTTCTTAATTTTGTTTTTCGTTAATCTAATCTCTGAAGGAAAAAAACGGAGGGAAATTGCATCTTCTTCATCGATGAGAACGGTCATCTAAACGTCGCTGTATCAGGTTTCACTCCGAAGATTTTACTGTTTTATATGCATCTGTGGTGGATATACAGCATACTCTTGAAAGGTTGTTGTGTTACTCCGAAGATTTTACTGTTTTATATGTATATATGGTGGATATACTGTGGGCAGGTTGTTGTGTTTTCAATTACTACTTGAGCATGAATTGGGAAGCTGATGACCAGGAAAAGATGTAGTTTGAGATTATTGATTTAGCATGATTTTTATATACTTTATTAGAGCTGTCGAAACTGATATGGATGATATTTTATTTACTTCATTGCTTTTTGAATGTGCTAATTGGGGGTTTGAGCTTGTTATTTTCTACTTCGGTTTGGCCAATCGCATCTCAGAATCTCCTATATGGTTGGAGATAGTGAGCTTATGGCTTAAATAACTTCGTTTCTCACAGATTAGCTCAGCACTCGATCAATCTGTATTTATAGTCTTGTTATGTGTTGTTGATGATGATGTTATTCTTTTGGGCAGAAAATTTATGGCTAATTTCAATGCCTCTATTTTGGGTTTTACGTTATGCAGAGTTCTGTATGGATTTGAATTGCTGTCCTGATGAGGATGGCCTCCCTGTGCTGCAGTTGCGGAAATGGGGTCCATCTGACATTCCATATAATCTTTCCGATTATAGAGAGGGTTTTATTTCCCCAACAAGGAAGTCGGTGCTGTTACTTTCCTATGATTCTGAGGCATTATTGATTCCCTTAGATAAAGGTCACTTTCTTTCTTCCATTTAACATTTGTTTTGACCGCATAGCGCGTTAGAGTGTCAAGGAAGTTTGTTTATTGTTCTCTTTGGCAGGTCAGTCCATGAATAATGAGGATCCTCAAGTTACTTCCAAGCGAACCTCCATTGATCCATATGAGTCGAGTATACCTAATGATTCAAGGGAAAATATGTTTGGAGTTTCTGAATATTTGGATTCGGATAATGATATTGGCAATACTGCTCCAACTAGTTCCCCTAGATGCGAGGATGCATTTATATCAGATATACGTTCAGTTGCCTGGGGCCTATGTGGGGATTCGTGTGATCAGCTCGATGAGTCTTCATTTCGTGAGCTACTTTTCGTGTCTGGAAAAGATGGGCTGGTTGTGCATGCTTTTTCCCCATTTAACGAATCAAGTGAAACAACAAGGCTTGCACAAAGAAATGATGTTGGGAAAGGGACATGGGTGGAGTGGGGACCATCAGCAGCCGTAACTCATGTTTTGGGAGTACATGATGAATCAAAATCTTATATGGAGGCCTCTGAGGAAAGTATAAATACTTCCCAAGTGAAAGCAGCGGAGGATGGTCAGTCAGAAAGTCGAAAGATATGGATGCGCACTTTCTTGACAGAAGCGGAAATAGTAAAATCTGGTAATGATGTTTATACTGGGTTCCCAAAGTGGCCATCCTTCCCCAAGGATAGTATCGTTTCATTTAGGATATTTGACCGAGACTCGCAATTGTCTAATCATGGTATCAAAGTTATGGGTCCCAAGACCAGTAAACCAGACGTGGATGTTGGTTTGTCCAACACGGAAGTAGAAAATGATGGCATGGGCCATGCAGAAAGATGTTTGTATAATTGCGTCAAAGTGTTCTCAAATGATTCATACCAGTTGGTTGGATTTGCACTGGCGATGATTAATCCTCGTCCTGTTAATATCCTGAATGTAGATGGTGACAACTGTAGTAAAGTTTTGGTTTCTGTGGCCAGAATAGTTAGCTGGGGAATGCAGTGGCTATACACTGTAAATGTTGATGAAGATAATGTTGGAGGCCCATTTGAATGGCTGGACTTTGCCTTTTCTCACATATTTCTGATTTGCCTTAGTGCATCTGGATTGATTGCTTTGTATGGTGCCACAAATGGTGAATATATAGCTGCTTTTGATGTTTTAAATATTATTGGACCTGCGCTGAAAGTTGACACTGATGTGCCTAATGAAAAGTCATCGCACCAACTACGTAGTCTTGACTGCGAAAGAAGATTTACAAGGCTTTTTGCATTTCCGTATTCCTCATTGATAGGCGGGATGGATGAATGTGGTGTAATCCATGTTATAGACTCTGGCAACCATGTCCCAGCGGACGATTCTTTATTTGAAAACTTTCTTCCTTATGAGTACTGTCCAGAACTTGGACTTTTAGCTCGCTGGGTGGTAGGGGGTACTGACATTGGCCACCAAAGAGTACTTCTTAATAAATCATCACCTCATGACCTTGCTAGATTACAAGTGCAGGGTGAAAAATCTTATGATTCGGGTAGGTTAGGGAGAAAAGAAAATCAGAGACATGAAAATATTGGAATCAAGGATTGGAGGAATCTGGAAAGATCATACATCACTACCCCGTATGATGCAAACCAGATAATGGATCAGAAGAAGTTCGTGTTTTCTAATTTTCCATCCTGCTTAACGAGGAAAGTCTTTTTACCCCTATATAGATACCGTGAAGATGATATTATTTGCTGTTCTCCTTTTGGGGTTACTCGTCTCATTAGAAGACATGATTGTGAGAAGAAATGGTATCAAATTGTGCATTCTAATCTACAATTAGATTTTATTGTGAATGATGAAAAAAACTACATAACTCAAGGTTCGGAAACCTCCACAAATGAAGCTGTTGGCTGCAATTTCCATGGGTTTCTGTATTTATTGACAGAAAAGGGTCTTTCAGTTGTTATTCCATCGATTTCAGTTCCCTCCGATTTATTTCCCGTTGAAGCAATTGTATATGGTATACCAAAATGTACTAGTAGCTTAAAAAGTGGAGCAGGCAATCTTCTAGGCATTGATCGGATTAAAAGACCCTGGTCACCTTGGAAAGTGGAGGTTTTGGATAGAACTCTTCTTTATGAGGGCCCTGAAGTTGCAGAAAAGCTGTGCCTGGAAAATGGTAAGCATCAGCTTTTATATATATAATCTTTCCATTAGCAAATGGACACTGCCATTTCTCTTTCTGGGATGTTCTCGGATATATTTTATATTTTATTTAACAGCTTCTAAACCCTTTCTTAAAAGAACAAGTAAACCATTTGTTTGTGTGTCGAACTGTATTGTATGCTTCCCTTTCAATAGTTGCATACTTTTTGTGATTAAACTTTACTGCGAACATCTTGAGGGAGTATGTTATAAAAAAAGTAGATATTTTGGTGCTCATCTTGTTCTCTAAAAGTTTACTTTATTTATGTGTTTTTGCACAATTTGACATTGAAATAGCATGATGTGTTTAATAAGTATGATGAGTAATTATGGTAAAGGTGAAAGTTTGAACTCATTAACGGTTTTGTTTGCATGTCAGCTCTTCCATTTAAGATTGGATCATTGTTTTGAGCATTTTGGTCTGCAAATGAAGTGGTTCATATTAGGCTGTTAGGCTGGTGCCCTTCATATTTCTTACTTTCTTGTAATTGACTCTTCGAATGTTATATCTGCAGGAAGTAGGATCAAAATTTTGGAAGGCTTTGTCCATTAGCTAGGTAGATATTAGAAAGATGATATCCATAACAGCTGACTTAAGAAAATTTTCAGGGTGGGACTTGCGGATTTCTCGGATACGCCGCTTGCAGCTGGCGTTGTTCTACCTGGAATTTGATGAAATTGAGAAGTAAGATTCATGTCTCACTGTCTCTTTATGTTGTATCTATTTTGTATGTTAAGTATGCATCTAATGTACATAAAAGAGTAGGAGTCCCTAAAAAAAATTGTGACATCCTTTTCATGACTGAAGATGTAATTGCTAATTAAAATTTAAAGGCCGAATAAATTAAAGAATTCTGTATTCCCTCCTTGGAGAACACGAGCTTCCGTTATCTAGGAAAGTTTTATTAGCATCATTTATAATATATCTTATTTAAAATTTATGTTTGAAGTAAGAGTTGTTCTTGAACATTTTTAATTCTCGATAATATTCTTACATAAGGAAATATTTAAGGTCATCAATGTAAAATTTATGTTAACATTATGGCATTACAATTGATATTAATTAGTATCTTTCGAGATAATATGAAAAAATGGATATAAATAATCACTTAATATTTCACAACGTTTTTGTTTATTTAAAATATTGTTTTTTGTTTACAAATAAGTGCCACTAGAAAAATAGAGAAATACGTTTCTTTTCATTTATAGATTTTAATTATGTTTTTACTAATACTTTTGTAATTTTTTTTATATGTATATAATTTAAAAATAATATAAATAACAAGTAATTAAAAATGAAATATCTATATTGAACACTTCTATATGAATGGAAAAAGTGTTGACTATATTAACAATTTTAGTTTTTACTCAATTATTTTGAACCATGGTCTTGATTTTAATATTTGTATATTTCTTAAATATTATGTGAAATGAATAAAAATAACGACATACATTTTTATAGTTATTACATAGTTGAATTTTTGTTCATTTTGTTTTTTTGTAAAGAAAATTTAGTTTCGACTTGGACATATGTTTTAAAGATGTCTTTTGTTTGGATTTTTTTTTATTCATTAAAAGTAGTTATTTTGGTTTATTTTGTTGTTATTGTTGTAAAACAGAATTATCACCTTGGCTTGAACATATATTTTATAGTTTATTTTTGCTTGAAATTTTTTTTTCAATAAATGAACATAATTTCTAAAGCTATTTTTAGAAATTTGATTGATATCTTTTTATTGATTTTGAATATCCTTCTTATTGTACGTAAAAAAGATTCATTGATACAATAATTACAATGTTGTTATTTTTTAGTTAAATTAACAGTAAGAACTAACATTAAACAATTAGTTAAATATAATGAAAAAGCTTAATTGTAAGATAATAAATGGTTCTTTAACAAAAATAAAATAATTTGTGTGTGTTAATGATCAAAGTTGTATAATAAAGTAAACAATTAAATTTTAACCAAATTATTGTAGATACGCTAACTATTTGTAATCATTTCTTATATTTATGATAATATATATTATAATTAAAGGAATCAAACAAATATTTCAACTTAACAAGTTGTTTATCAATCAACTCTGTAACTATAGTATGATTAAATGAAATTTAATTTAATCAGAATATATAAATATGAGTTTAAAAACCTAAAAATAATAATTAACTTTATATATCATTAATAAATTTTCACAGAAACTTCTATTTACACCATAAACTCATGTATATATATGTGTGTGTATAATTTTGGTCTAGTGTATAATATTATGATTCATATACATCGTGTATTGGAGAGGGTTTTGAAGTTTTGTCGTAATGATTTTAACAATATTATCTTGTGTATTTCACTATCCATTTAATTAGTTGACATTATGCACATTTTAATGCAATAGTTGACCATCAAATGTGCTCTTAAGCCCAAAACAATTTAATATGTAAAATGTTAGTTTAAATAAATATTTTAATTCCTTAACTAAAGATTCAAATATAATCCACCAAAAAAAATTACTTCTAACATTTTTTAAATTATCTACTTAAATTATTGAAATCTTGTTTGAAATGAACTTGTGTACCATATACTTCGTAATAAAGCATGAAAAATAAAAATAGTATTTGAATGGAAAAAAAAAAATTAAAATTCTACCAAAACTTGATTGCTAACATATATTTATAATTCATGCAAATAACTATAACTATATTGATAATTGTATCAAGTGAGAAAAGTATATGAATTTGTGTCGTTATATATGGGAAGATAATATGAGCAATTATAGAATATTAGGCTAGCAAACATAACTGAAGTATGCTTTTCATATGCTATTTATATGGTTTTTTATGCTATTTATATGCGATCAGTGAAAATAATAAAAAGAATGATCTTTAATATGGTAATTGACCCAATTTAAATTGATGAAGAGAAAATAAATCAAACAAAAATGATTAACTTCCAATTGCCATTTCAAAAATGATCATCTCAAATGATGCTATAAGCAATCATCTAAATTATTTCAAAGAGTATGACAATAAAATGAAGAGAAGAAAGACTGTTGAATCCAGTATATTCCCAACAGGTTGGGGTTTGGGGGGTCAATTGTACGCAGACCTTACCCTTGTAATTATACAAGGAGGCTAAACAAAAAAAATGACAACACTATCAATAACCAATAAGGACACTATAGAGGTTATAAAACAAAATATATGTTGAAGTATAAAAAAATAAAAAAGTCTAAATTGTAAAATATATCCATTTTTTAAAGCACATGACAATTTTACACAGTAAAATTTGCAATTGTACAAAAATTCCCAAAGTAATCAAATCACGAATATTTTGCCCAAACACGTAAGTTAGCAACCATTTTTTTATTTGCAACTTTTTACAATTATTGCCAGCTAGTTTGTTCCTATTTTTTTGCATTTTCTAACATGTTGTGCTTGAATTTTTTTTCTTAGTGGAAATTTTGTTTTGTTACAAAAGTAATAGGAAAAGTAATCACTTTACTTAGCATATTTTGCCTGAACTAAAAAGATTTTGAACTATTGAGATTAATTTAGAGAATGGAAGTTTATACACAAAATAAAAAAAACATAATTTGAAATCATAAAAAAATATAAACCGTGTATCATGTGCATGGCATGTGCACTTTACTAGTGCTTAATAACTTCACGTATGAGCTTATGGCGTCGGAAGAAGTGGAAGTTGAATGGATAAAATGCTTAATCTTATGCCCTTCTCTTTGAGACCTTATCGAAATGGCTCATATTATGATGATCTTTATTAATGCTTCTCAAATTGGACCAACAGCTCCCTGGAAAGGCTTATGGGTGTCAATCTGGCAGTGGAAGGCATATTGAGGCTTCTCTTTGCTGCTACCTATTTGATGTTCAACAAAGTAAGCGGTGATAATGAAGTTTCTGCTGCATCAAGGTATTATGCATATCGTGCTTCCCGGCTACTGTATGTTATATTTTAAAAGGATTTGGGTGCACAGGACTTACAGGACACGAGTAAGATGCAGTTTCTGATGAGTCTACTCATATAGTCATATGGTACTCAATAATCTTAAATCAATAACCATCACTCGCAGGCAGTAGTTTATTTATTTTCCTCTCAGATCGGTTGAGACAGTATAATTGTGTTATTGAGCTTGGTTGTCTTTTCTTCGTGTTTGCTTTTCAATACTGAGAGTACATCATTTCTTAATATAGTCAAGCCGAGCTATAAGTACCTCATTTAAGATTGCACAACTCATGACATAGTGGACTTGACTCAAGTCCTTTAGCACATTATTTTCCCTCTTATGCCACTCTATTTGATTCACTTGGGTGGTTGGGTGTGGGGTTGGGGAATGAGGTGGTGATAAAACTTGGTTCCAAGCTCTCTAGCACATGTTTATCTTATGTTTCTTCTATATTCTACCTTCAAAACATTTATGTTTTGCTTGATATCTTTGATACTTATTCACTGATCCCTTGGTAAAGTCCTAATTGGATTATAGATTTTTCTTTTATTTTATTTTTTTATTTTTTGAATAAAATTGAGTTATAGAATCAAATGTGCTTGAATAAAATTGAGTTCCCTTTTTCTTCAGTTCCTGGTTGTATTTATATCAATGTCGATAAAATTGATGCAGGCTTCTTGCATTGGCCACCGGTTATGCAATCCGGGTCATGCGTAAATGTGGTTTGTTGCAGCATAAGAAAGCAGCTGTGCATCCATGGAATGTTATAGGCAATGAAGGTTTTCCTCTTCTGTTAGAGCTAACAGATAAAGAGCATGACGAAGAGGAATTTTCAAGAATCCTTAAGGAAATAGCACAACTTTTGGTGGTTATCCGTAGTTTGCAGGGAAAATTAAATGCCAAATTCAAACTACCAGGCCAACAGTTGGTAAGTGCTTAACCATTTTTCTGCTTTTGCTGGAACCTGTCGTGATAACTGATAACTAATGGAAAGTTTTCATGCATCTTAGACAGACAATACTGGGCCTCAAAATTTGGTTAGTGGAGAGTTATCTGAAGATGAACCGAAGGATCCAGTTGTTACGGAAGATACACCGTTTGATACATCCGATCATCGTGAAATTGCACTTCCTGCATCTGGGACGGAATTGAGTAATGCAGAAAACCTTGCTTTAGTGCCCGCAGATTCAAGAGGTGAAACCCCAGGTTTTGACAATTTTGGTAGAACAATCCTAGTTTCTGAAGGAAATGCATTTGGAAAAACGGCATATAGGGTAGAGAGTTCGAAAGATATGATGACACGTTGGGCGCTGGATAACATGGACATCAAGACTGTTGTCAAAGATGCTTTACTTTCTGGTCGTCTTCCTTTGGCAGTGCTTAGATTGCATCTTCATCACTTGAGTTTGGCACCTGGCACAGAATCTCATGATACCTTTAATGATGTCAGAATTGCTGGAAGAGCGATTGCCTATGACTTATTTGTCAAGGTTGGTTAATTCTTGGTTAACCTGAATCAATTTATCACGTTATTTCTAATTATATTGTACATTTCAAATGGATAGGGTGAAGTTGGGCTTGCTATAACAACATTACAAAAGCTTGGGGAGGATGTTGAAACCACTTTGAAACAATTAGTGTTCGGCACTGTTAGAAGATCTCTTCGGGTGCAAATTGTGGAAGAAATGAAGAAATATGCATACCTTGGACCACATGAGTTGAAGATATTGGATATGGTATCACTTATAGAGGTATGTGAGAGTTTTATTGTTTATACCTATCCATGATATCATATTATATTGCTGGAAATTACTTTTGAGCTAACAAATAGAACATTTTTTCCAAAGAGGGTATATCCTTGCAATAGTTTCTTCAGCACGCTGGCTACACGGAGAAAGGCGCTTAGTATAGTAACTAACGAAGATGCAGCTGGGAAGATAAGCCTACGTCTGTTCCATCCTCTATTTGACAATCTGGCCATTTTCTGTGGTGAGATAGATGGAGTTGTTTTGGGTTCATGGAAGACTATAGATGAACATTCTGTAGCTCCTGAAGCTGATGATGATAGTAGTCATGCTGCTTATTGGACTGCTGCTGCAGTGTGGTCAGATGCCTGGGATCAGAAAGTCATTGACCGTGTAAGTCAAATGTTGTAATTTACTATTTTATGCTGTTAATATAGCTTCTTTTCTTCTGATTGTTAAGCTTTACACTCATATTTTTAACTTGGTCAATGCAACACTTCATTGTCTCCTTTCGCCAAGACCCTGAGTCTAATTGACTATTATCTGGTGTCTTCTGCTACATAATTTATTTAAATTTGGCGCATGTATTTTTCCTTGAGATGTAGTCACAGAGTAACACGTGTATTTTGTTCAAAATCTTCAGAAACTACTTAAGGAGTTTCTGGATGAAGAAATTTAGTCTATCAAGAGTCTTAATTTGCTTCTGACCATCACCAATAAACTGAGAGAATGAGAAGTGATTTATACGTCCTTACTCTTACAACTATAATAGTATAGTTCATTTCATTACTTTGGGAATATGATCGCTCTGCTGTTGACTAGAGTATCATGTCCTTTTATTTATGAATAGTGAGAAACACATATTGAAACCCGATTGATGCATTTATATAATATAGTTGGAGTAGGATATACCAGTTTAGGTGCTCATTGAAGCAATATATTACTTCTGTCTGCAGAAAAGATTCACATCGATTGTAGTTGTTTTTCACTTCTTCGCTTGTTACATTTTCATATTTACTTACAGTCAAGCAGGTTTGAGACATACACCATGGCTCATTTTCCTCTTCTAGACCTCCAATATTTTCTGGAATGCCCTAGTTTGGTTTCTAGTTTGTTTGAATTGGAGTATCTTATCTGGTAGCAGCTGTTGTCCAACCCCCATTTCAAGGGGAAAATGGTTGTATGTTTCTTTTATCCCGTTGTCCTTCATACTCAGTTATTCACAAGGAAAATGGATGACAGTTGTCAGTGCGTCAAACTAATTTTTCTTTTCCGGTCGCTCTCTTACCTGTTCTCTTTTCCTTTTTGGGAAATTTTATATCAGTCACTTTTCTTTGCATGAATCCGTGAACTTATGTGACTGCTATTGTTTCTTTTCACTTGTCTAAATCATATGAAGGCTGTGCAGCTCTGCTGTTCTTATTTTTGTTGTTTCAAGATGACCGTTCCAGGATAACTCACAGACATTTAAATGTTCTCTCTTTGTGCAGATATTGCTTGACCAACCTCTGCTCATGGGCGTTAATGTATTGTGGGAATCACAACTTGAATACCATGTCTGCCACAATGACTGGTTAGAAGTTTCCAAACTATTAGAGGTGATCCCATTGTATGCACTATCCCATGGAAGCCTTAGCATTAGCTTGGATGATATAGAACCAGCTTCATCCATAGAACATGGTCAAGAGCTTCCTGGATATAAAAATTACACAGGCTTCCTTGAAGAGCTGGATGGTGTGTTTCTTAATGTCCCAAGAATAAGATTTTTCAGGTTTTCTGCAAATAAAGCATGCTCTGAATGGTTAAAAATGCTTTTGGAGCAGCAGCTTGCAAAAGAATTTATCTTCCTGGTGGAATACTGGAACGATACGTCAGAGATTGTTCCATTGCTAGCCCGGTCAGGTTTCATGATTAACAAGCATGATCAGCCATTCCTGGACGGAGCCGATGACAGTTCATCTAGTTCACTTCTAGTTATTGATGATACATCAATGAACCCACAAACAGTACAAGCTCTTCATAAAGTTGTAATACATTTCTGCACGCAGTATAACTTGCTGAACCTTCTGGACATTTATCTTGACCATCACAAGCTGGCTATCGACCATACTTCCCTTTCCTTTTTATTGAATGCAACAGTAAGTACCTTTTTTTTTAATAATAAATAATAGAAATAAAAAAAATCTTGTCTCAGTGGTGTTGTTTGGTATAAGGGTATTCATGTTTAATGTCATGCTTTGCTTTAGTCCAATAATTGACTCGTAATTTGCAAATTGTTATTAATTATTTGTAGGAGACTTTGAATTGCTTAATTTTAAGGATATTTTTGCTGCATCTTGATTCAGGGTGATAATGAGTGGGCGAAGTGCTTGCTCTTATTAAGGATTAAGGGAAAAGAATATGATGCATCATTTTCAAATGCTCGTGCAGTTGCTTCCCGTAATTTAATTCCTGGGAATAAACTTACTGTTCTGGAGACTGATGACATCATTCAAGCTGTTGATGACATAGCGGAAGGAGCAGGGGAAATGGCAGCTTTAGCCACACTAATGTTTGCTCCTAATCCTCTGCAGGAATGCCTTAGTAGTGGTAGTGTAAAAAGGCATTGTAGTTCAGCTCAGTGCACCTTGGAGAACCTTAGACCAGCCCTGCAACGCTTTCCCACATTGTGGAACACACTTGTGGCAGCATGTTTCGGTCAAGATCCTCTTGGAAGCAAACTATCGTTTAAGGCAAAAAGTAACATATTATACCCTTAGTCCCTTTCTGTTCATGCATGAAATATAATAATTCTTTGCCTCCCATGATTTTCTGGTTATTTTCTTTTCAATGCAGCATCTGGCTATTCTGATTTGTTAGACTACTTGGATTGGCGGGAAGGTGTATTCTTCTCTTCTGTACGAGATACTTCAATTCTTCAGATGATCCCTTGCTGGTTTCCTAAGGCTGTCCGGAGATTAGTTCAGCTTTATGTGCAGGTTATTCTTGAATTTGCTTGATTGTTTGGCTCTATTCAAGGAATTGTCTCGTTATCTCAGTGGACTTAATCTCTATTATTTCATCTATAAATCCATTTATATATAAAAAAATATGTTCTCTAATAAAGATAGCCATGCATCAAATGACAGTCCAATATTCTCGATGCAGTTTATGTCTTCTCATATAAATTTTCTGTGAGAATAGGGCCCAATTGGCTGGCAATCATTAGCTGAGTCAGAGACCGAGGAACTTTCTATGCTGAGAGACATTTATTATGTTGTAAATTCCAGTGGTCATGCTCAAATTAGTGCAACATCCTGGGAAGCTGCTGTTCAAAAACATATTGAGGAGGAACTCTATGCATCTTCTTTAGAGGTAAGATTAAGAGTTCTGAATCGCTTGAAGATCCTCACTTTTCCAAATTCTCCAATTGATCGCTGCAGAAGGCGCACTTAACCTTGCCTAGCAGTCTATTGTCATTTGTCAGTATATCAATATTAAAATGATACCTTTTTTTTTTCTGCAGGTAGAGGACAAAAATTGGAACTGAGTGATTCCGTTGTCTAAATTTCTCCCAAATTTTTGTCTCTTCTTTCTGATGTTACATAATGTTGTAATTTGCTTCACCAGTTTCAGGGAGCTGAGGTGGGTCTCGAACACCATTTGCATCGTGGGCGTGCGTTGGCTGCTTTAGACCATCTCCTTTCAGCAAGGGTCGTTAAGTTGAAGTCCAATGATAAGGATAGTTGGCAATCTGAAACCCAACCAAGTGGGCAAACAAATATCCAACTGGATGTACAAAACCTTCTTGGACCAATAACACAGAGTGAAGAGTCGCTTCTCTCACCTGTAAGATTTAATTTCATCATGCATATTGAAGAGGAAATTTCATTGCTAGGTTGCACATGGAAACCAAAAGAGTATTGGCTGCTTGTTTATTTTGTTTACTTTGTTAGAATGTTATTCCATAACAGTTTTCTACTGAAATTAACAGAAAGACTTGTGTGCGAATATGTTGACAAATTCATTTCATTTCAATCAGCATCCACTGTTCTTCATTTCTTGTTCTTCTTTGTGGGTTGTGAGTGCATTGGTTGCTTTGAGTTGTGTGATAAGGGAAAGGCTACATCTACTATGTGACCCGAGGAACTGGGTTGAATGTTGACATAAGCGTTGTGCAACTAAGGCTTTCTAATTTTGCTTTTATTCTAAAATATGATACATCCACCCCTAGGTAGATCATATGGGGTTGGTTGTAGACTTCATTTTGTGATCGGTTAAACTGGGGCTGAAATTGTTCCACGACACCACCTTGAGATCATTCTGATTTACATAAATTTTTAGTAGGGAGATTAATCAGGCAATCACCTGGTATTAGGGATGTTATCGAACCGAACCGAACCGAGCTTAAGGTGTTCGAGCTCGAGTTCGATTAATTTTCGAACATGTTCGTGTTCGTTTGATTAGTAAACGAACAAAAAATTTTGTTCGTGTTCGTTCGTTTATTGGTTCGACACGTTCGTGTTCGTTCGTTTATCTAGTCGAACATGTTCGTGAACTGTTCGAATTGTTCGACAAGTTCGTGTTCGAGTTGTTCGACATGTTCGTGTTCGTGTTCGTTTTTTTTAACCTTTTTTTTATTTTATTTTAATGTCATACAAGTTATTTTATTTATTATTTAATATCTATTCATATTTATATGTTATATTATATATGTATGTACTATATATAATATATAAAATTATAAAATATTTGTGTTTTATTTAATATTTAATATATATTCATATTTATATATTATATTATACATGTATATACTATATATAATATATAAAATTATAANANA